TTAGTGGCCTATTTTAGAACTATTTTATCTTCTAATAATACCCATCATAGAGCTGATCAGTTCTAATCAGAATTCTTGTATCACTTCAAATTATTGTATTAACTTGCATAGCCTTTTTTTTAAATATAGGATTGTCCAATTCGGTCTAAAACTACAGAAAACCTCTAACTAAAATTCACACACTAAAATGCCATTAGACATGTGATGATACAGGCTGTGCTGCCAATTGTTGCAAAACTCTCATTGTTTACTGTTACCCCAAATGTCAATGCTTGTTTCAGGCCCATCAGGCAGATCCAGAAGAATTTTACTCGGCATCAGCTCCAGGTTTTTTGCCTATGCCTTTGGAGGGGAGAAGTGTTTCACAGACTATGTACCTATTGTGCTCACCCCAGTGAATGAGGCTTACCAGGCTGCTGCTCTTCATCGCCACTTGCTCAAGTTTAGAAGCGCAGCCCTTGCCCAGGTACAAAGTATTGCAGGTTTCTAATGTTCTCCCACCCTCTATGCTGGGCAGGGCTCTCTGTATCTTACACCACTTACACGTACACAGGCAGGTATCAGGCAAGGCACCAACATAAGGGAATGCACACTTTTCAAGTGATTTCCCCAGAAAATCCTCTATTCTGTATTTAAGTGGATACAAACACTTAAACTGTTTATCTGCTTCAGCTGTCTATTAATAGGTGCACTGAGGTAATGCAAAAGCCTTGAAATAAATTCATCAAACATAAGGACAGCATGTTACACAGCATTAAGGAAGCACAAATTCTCTAGGACATGTCAGCAACCCACCTTGTTCTGCCTCTAGATGAGACCTTGATATCCTTCTGGGAGGACTCATCATCTGATTTCATGTCATCCGATGAGGGGGGTTCATGTATATTTTCATCCTTCTCCTTATGTTCAGACTTGATTTCTGTTGGACCTATAGCCACAGACTGGCTCTGTAAGCCACCGGACAATGCTGCAGGCAACCAGAGAGCAGTGTGAGTATCACAGGCATGAAATGCCAAAGAGAATCTCAAGCAGATATTGTCAATGGGAGGCCAGAGCTAAGGACAGAGTCTGGGAAGACGACAGTAGGAACTACACTCTGGCAACAGCAACAAGAGAAATCCTGGTAACACTGATGTAATTGGGCATGTGTCAGGGGTTGTAAAGGGATCATAACTCAGAGCAGCTTGATCAGTAACAGCTTCATCTAAGAAAAGCACTGTTAAAGACAACAGGACTTCAGTGAAGTAAGGAAACTTGCACCTTATGTCTGGGCTGCAAATTTTAGAGCAGAGCTGCACTGACATTAAGGCTTGGGCTTAGATCAAACGTGCAACACGCACCTCTCTAAATGGTGCAAGCATGCTAACGAGTAAGCTGACTTGTGTCTTCCATAGCTTACTACTTCAAGCTAAAAATTGAGGGAACCATTAACAGAGGGAACCATTAACACCTGTATGGAAGGATTTCTTTTTATTAGCTAGACTGAAATCTGCCTTCAGCTCACTCTGCAGCCCTTCCTGCCGATTCGGAAATGGCTGCCGTACTGCAAATGCCATTACGGCTCCTTCAGCCAAGAGAACATGGCTGTAATGCAGAGTCTTCTGCTGGAACTATAGTGCGTCAAGTCTGACACAGGGATGCCCTGAAAACTGTCGCAGGGTTCCTTCACAGCAGCATTTTACAGTATTTACAATTAATTTCTTATTTCTCAACATCATCTATGTCTCTATTCCCTGTGCTGATGCAATTTTACCAAGATTTACAACCTCACTGGCTCTGGATTACTGCAGACCCCATTTAAAATCACTGGGAAGTTACCTCTGTAGCTTTCTTGTGTTTTATGATTTAGTTCTGTGCTCTGAGCAGAAACTGCACTGGGAAGAACTGAATGGTTGCTGCTGAGGCTGACACTTTCTTCCCGATGAGCCCCAACCTAAAGCAAAGCAAAGCAAACATTTCCATTAAAGATACGCTTTAAAGAAAAAGAAACAGTCCAGATACAGAAGTTTAAAAGACAAAATATTTGCTGGATTACAAACCCAAGTTAAAGTTCTAGCTTGGTAAAGGAAAGATTTAGTTGGAAGATGCTATTACACTACACCACTTGATCACACCACACAGGATTAAGCTGTATTTCAAGCAAAGCAGTGACCAACACCTGTTTGGAATAACACAGCAACCTAGCAACAAGGTTTTTCACTACTTTCCCACACAACACTACAGAGTTTTCTCCTTGATTTATACCCGAGGGGTGTAAGACTTGATTAACCTTTGATTGTTTAAACGAATTCAACTAGCAACTCCAGTACATGTAACACTGTGATCCTTAAATCGTGGGGAATAATCGTCTTCACCCCATGTGTAAGGTGTGTATACTGCCCTATGCTCACATACACAGACATGCACGTGTATAAATAGCATCTCCTCACTTGTGCTCAAACAGGATTAAGGCAGAACTGGATCTAATATCAAAATACTGTTTTGTTCACTTTAATAATTCCCTCTCATTTCCCTCCTTTCTCAGCTAAATACATTTATCTTAGTCCCATTACAGAATGTTATCATACAAAAATAACCCAGGCATCTAACTGCTCCTACCACCTCTCAGTATTTTCTGATCTGCTCCTTCATGATACATCATGATCAAATTTCCAAGCAGCAAGCACCGAGAGGAAGCATAAACTTGGATTAACAGTACTTATGCCAAGACAGCGATGAGTGCCCGTGCCCAGCTTGAACAGGCAAATCTGTTAAAAACTCTGCTCAAGACAGAACACTGTTATTAATGCGAACCTCTATAAAGTCATATTCTTTTGTTTGAGAAAGGAAAAGGTACAGACACACTGCCTGTATTTAAATAATCTGGAATGCAGACTATTTAAAGCTTTTGATTCCTAAAGACACAAAAGTCCTTTAAATATTTATAATACAACCACAATACAATTTTACAGTTAAAAAAAAACCAAAACCCTAACAAAGCTGAGGATTCTACTATTATTTATATAGTTACAAAAACTGGCTACAGATAAAGCTTTTTATTGGAACAGTAGCAAACATGTCAACTAGAAGATTAAGCCTTTAATTAAATAGGTTTATTGCCTGGAGTTACACATGAGAACCACTGTTTTTCAATAAATCCTTCAATCCTAGTAAACTGCTGAGCTTTGAATCCCTCTTGAGTAATTAATGCAGCTTCTACCTTTCATGTCTTAGTATGGGTTTTACCCAGAGAGAGATAAATACCCTTATGCAAGTTTATCCTTTGTTTAATACATACTCGTTCCTGTAAGCTAACACACAGGAACAAGAAAGGAAAGGGGGAACACCCCCCCCCCCCCCCCTTAACTAATATCAGGTCATTCTGGGCTGGTATCCGTATCTATTGTTCTGCAGAAAATCTCTTGTATACTGTGGGATATCTGTTGCTATTTAAAATGTGTTTTATCTTCCTGTGTGTGTAATAGGCTTTGTCTGTGAGAAGTTCCACTATGGATGCAGTCATCTCAGCTCCTGCGGTGCTTGAGAGCTCACTGGGAGCAAAGAGCAGAGCCCGTGTCTTCCAGCCTATGAGACAAAACTCGTACAACAGGAACGTGAGGCTTGCTCTGCACAGAGCACTTCCAAACCCGAGCCTTCCCCTAATTCTGCCCTGCAGGTCGTGCCCGTGATTTTGTTCTTCTGCTCATGCTAAGTCCTAACGCATGAGGGTGCTTTTATTCAAAGTACGGACTGTGAATCACTTCAGGGCCAAGTCTGTTCCAAAACGTACTTCTTACAAAAGGTTACAATTCTTAAAGCTGTGTCCAAACGAAGCAGCTGCCAGAACCCTGGCAACTTCCAGATCTAGTGCTAATCTAGACGTGAGAGATAAGCACACCAGTTCTGATACAGGCAGGAAACAGACCGGGAATAAAAGCTGAATTCAAGTCCATGTTCCAGTCCTTTGAAACAGGTTTACAAAATCAAAGCATACAACTCAGATCAACAAGACCGATACAGGAATCTGAGGAGCCAGGTGTCACAAACCTGACCACGTCATGAGCGCTCATCTCTGATCTGTGATGTGCTAGAAAATCCAAACAATCCCTAAAGCAGGAGGCTTGCTGAACGCCCCTGTACCCCGTGCGAAGGCCCAGAGCTGTTTCCTGTAAGCACAGCAAACCGGGGCCTGCGTCAAGGCACCCAGCTGGACTGTAAGTCTCCGGAACGCCGCGCTCAGACAACCGGGTTTGCCGTTCCCAGGAGAGGCTCCGTCCCTCTGCCCCTCACCGCCGCGCGGGCACCCTGCGCCGCAGCACAGCCCCCTCTCGCAGCCACCGCTGCCGCCGACCCCCAGCCCAGCCGCTTCCCGGCACCGCGGGGCCCCCTCCCCCGTTCCCGGGGCACCCGCCAGCTGCGCGGGGCGGGGCGGCGCGCGCTGCCCGCATTAGCATACAGCTGGGCGCCTCGGCCCCGCCTCCGCCCGCGACAAAGGCGGGAGGGCTGAGCCCGCCGAGGGGCCGCTCTGAGGTAAAGCTGGGCCCGGCGCGGGGCCGCGAAATGGCAGCCGGGGTTTGGGGCGGGGGGGAGCCGCGGCGTGCCGGCACACACCGACTGCTAAACCCGCACCGGAACCAGCCACCGCGGGGCGGCCTGCCTACGCTGCCACAGCAACGAGCGTGGCGGGCTCTCGGCAAATCAAACGGGTTACGTTTAGCGAAGGGACGGCCCAAAGTCCTGCCCGGTCCCGGCTCTGCAGTGCCTCATTCACCGCGCGAGCTGAGGTCCCGCGGCTCAGGAGGCTCGCGCAGAGGGCGCCGACTTGTGCGTTTGAACAAACCGTGAGTGCCGAGCTCACCCCGTCCGTTTGGTAAAGTGGTAACGTTTGGGAGCTGAAACTAGAAAAGCAGCTCAGTATTCCTGGCAACTGAACACAAACCAGACGGATCGTGGCAACTGGCAGCACAGTGCTGCACATGTGGGGAGCCGGCCCGGAGCCACACGTGGCGAGAGGAAGGACCTTTGCTCTGCGAACGCGGGGCCTGCATCTCACACTTCAGTTTCGTTATTAGTTTTGAACTCGTGGCAGTAAAAGCTTTTGAGAGCTGAAAAACCTCCCCACAAACCAGTCTTTGCTTGTATCTGCTGCAGGACTTACCTAAGCACGTGTCAGAACACAAGCACTTCTCAAGCCATGCCAGCTGACCAGTAATACAATTTTAACCGAGGTGAACACAGTTAAGACAATGAAGAGGGCTTTGGAATCAAGATGTTTACACTTGGGACAGCTCAGAGTGGCTCAGTGCGAGCATCGGCTCTGCTTGGAAACACAGCGCCTGGAAGGGCTTTGCGCAAGAGCAGCGGGTGGTGCTGGCCAAGCAGCTCCTGCTGCCCTGTCCTGCCCTTACAGCACAGCAGACACAGGGTAAGAAGGGGAGACTGTCCAGTTCCCTTGGATCCCTGTTATACCTGGAAAAAACCCTGTGACTTCAGGATTGAGTTTCATCCTTAACCGCATTTCCAGGCCTTTTATTTATTTATTTTTAATCAATTCAGGCTGTTCTTTTTCCATTGTACTTCAATGACAAATAAAAAGCAGCTTGAATAAGAACAAAAAGAGTATTACTTCTTAACTTTTCAATAATACATGAAATAAAATACAAATCAACTTCAAAGGCCACTTAGCAAATATTTGATGAGTTTGAGATATTAAAAATCTATTTGAATAAGTCTAATGGCCAGCCCAGCTAAAAAGAAAACAAGACCATTCAGAGCGAGCAGGAAATGAAGTCAACTAGAGTTTTAAAATAAATCTGGCTCAAAAATTAAGCAAATGTTAAAATAAAACCATGTCTGGTTACACTAATTACATAAAAAGGAGTTAAATTACTCATTTCCTAGCTCCTTCTGCCAAGATCATCATCTTCAAGGGAAATTAAATTTAACTTCTATTTTTTTTCCTACAGAGAAAAAATGTTTTGTATGAAGAGACACCCCCGCCTCCCTCCCCCAAGAAGGAAGTTTCGTTCAGTGCAATGAATGTTTCTTGACTTAAACCCCTTCTGAACACGTCAAACAAAACCAGGTAAACACCTGCACTGATGTTCACATTTCACACCGTGAGAGCCAATACATTATTTTCTTAAAATTTACTGGAGGCTCTCTGAAGTACAGCACTCTTTAATTTCTGAACAAAGCCTAGACCTTACGGTTCAGGTGGTGTCAAATCCTCTGTTCTCCTGCACTTACGATTTCAAGAAATACAAATGGTAAATAAGTATAGGTTGGAATTAACTGATTACTGAAGAACGCAAGAATTGCACCTCTTAAGTGGGGGGCACTACTGCAATGCAGTCATCATTAACTAACACCGCTCAGTTTCCACTACAGCCAGGAAGGCCAGCCCCTGCTCTGTTCATCTTTCAGGCCCCATCCTAAGCCATGCTGAGTGCCTGCGACTGCAAATGATGGCAAAGGGCACTCGCTGGGGACTGGTCAAGGCCACAACAGGATGCTTTCTGTTGGAGCCAATTATTCTGATGTAACAAAATTAGGGTTAATCCAAGGAATTCTTTAGCTGACTCACTATTCAAGCAAAACTGATCTGCAGGCTTGCTTCACCCAGCCAGATGAAATACAAAAGCAAGTGATGGTTTGGGTTTTGGTGTGGTTTTTTTTTTTTCATTTTCCTAATCTAAGGGTTTTTTTTAACAGAGAGCAAGCATCTTTCAATTGAAGCAGCAGGTCAATCAATCATTAGTGGCAACTCAAGTCTAGATTACATTTAAGTTACACAACTACATCAAACTAGAGCAGACCAAGGAATTCATTTTGGGGAGTCATCTTCCACCGCCACCTATTTCAATCAAAACCAAGCTGATAAAATATTTATCATAGCTTAGTTTAAAAGAGAAACAGATTTCTGTGTACATTGCAACACTATCTGCATTTGACTGGATCTGGCTTTGCAGCACCAGAAGGTTCCACAAGACAGAGAACAATTCTGCCACTGCAATTTCAGTCACTCTACCCCACGTCATTAAGACTGAGCAAAAAACAAGTTTTCTTTTGTATAACTAGACTGCAGTCTACCCCAGACTACGGCAGAACATTCCCTTTTAACAGCATTCTTTAAATATGAGGCAGTATTCAGAAAAAATTCTGAAGTATTTATGCATCACTTCCTTCATTACTAACTGTTGTATAGAAACCTAAAGCTGGGTATGTGTTGGAAAGCACTCCCCCCCGAAAAGCCCCCAAACACACGCAGCTTATAGAAAGTAACCAGTTCTTTTTGATGTCTGCTGCAGTGGTTCTGAAATTAATATAAATGGATGTGTGACGTGCGAATGGGAGAGCCTGGAACTAATTCAGTTTTATAGAATACAAACCCTTCAGCAATTGGGGTACCTAATTATTTTGATGATAGGTGAAGTTTTGCCTTGATCACACAGTGCCCAGCTGTGAATCTGTTTTATGACAGAAAATTTCACAGCATGTAACTGGTCTTTAAAATCACGCTGTAAACATGCAAACACATGGCACCACTAAAATAAGCATGTTTTAAAAAGCCCTTTTTCCTTTAAGCGTTCTTGAGAAGGGAGGAATGCAAAGGAAGAAAAAGGGAGGTAAGCAATGCTACAAATAGATTTCGTTTACTGTCTAATGCTTTTAACATACTTCTGATCTATAAAAAGCTCAACTACATTTTTTCAGAACAGTTCACTTTTTTAAAGAAACTAAAAGAGATGGATTGAATTATTTCACTCTTCTTGGGGATTAATCTAAAAGTTGTTTCCTCTTCATTGTTACTTGCACTACAGCTGTGCTCAAACTCCTTTTCATTTAGAAAAAAAAGTTTACATTTTGAGCCTGCGCACACCATGGTTCCACATTCCAACAGCTTCCTCCCAGTCCTCTGCCAGCATCTGCTATTGAAGACTAGTTCCAATTTACAATAAACAGCTTTTCCAGACCAGAACACTTGAAATTCAGTCCTTCTTGACTGCTTTTCCCATTCAATCTCCCTATTCACCATTTCAAGGAGAAAACTGTTCTGCCAATTATTACACATCTGGAAAAAATGCATGTATAAGCTGAAATGCTCTCAGCAGAAAGTTTCAGCTTTCTGCATATGGTCACAGCAGGATTTTATGGGCCACTGACCAGGCCCAAGTTTAAGTTTTCCCATCTTTCTCCTCCCCCTCATTTCTACCCCCACCCTAACCCTCTAATTGGAAACCCATAGCAGGTGCAAGCTGTCTGCCACTTTTTCCTCCGCAGGAACCTCAAGTAGTTTCTTCCTGATAAATGTTGGCCTTACACTCCGGTTGTAACTCACTAGGCTCTGCGCTAAGTCAAATGCATCAGCTGAAGCTGTTATACATAAAAATACACATTTAAAAATACCATTACCATTGACGCTTGTCTGTTGGTTGTCACAAGGCTAGATGCTCCATAGTTTGAGTTCAGGCTTCCAATTGGCCCATTGTGGGATGGTCCCAATAAACTGTGTATATCTCCATGGCCACCTGACAGGCTTGTTGAAGGCCCCACAGCATGATTTCGTAGTACATGGATGGCATCATCAAGTCTGTCCAAGCGATCCTCCATTCGAGACTGCTGTTAGAATTTAAGAGGGACAGGAGCAGCTATTACTGAATAAACCTGCATACTCATTATACCGCAGTAGTTTCTACCTCAGAGATATTAAAGACAGAAGATGAAATGCATATATCAAAGACTTTGAAAGCACCTACCAGCACTACAACAAACAGGAAAAAGAAAAGATATCTGGAGATTTTGCTCAAGATAGCATTCATTCCACAAATAGGTGGTAGCTTTTAAAGTGAATCTTATTACAAGGTTAATGTTACTCAGCTTCTATTACATGGCATGAACAAAGAAAAAAGGAAGTGCTACAAAATAAGCTAATAAAGGATGAGAAAGAATGATCATAAAATCAGCCTCACCGCGTTGGTAACAATAAAGAGAGGCAGTGGCTTTTTGAGAACCTGTATTACAAAAAACCTGGACAAAACTTTGAGCTATCATTTTCTAAAGTGGAGCTTTAAACACATCAGCTACTGCAGAAATAAAAGTGAATTCTGTATGTTACTGCAGAAGAGTCTGTCTTTAAATTACTTTCCTTTTTTTAAAAAAAAGGAGACCAAAAAACCCCAAAGCAAAACCAATTCTGACACTGCAGCTCTCCAGAAACTGAAATGGCAGGATGTTGGAGTCAGAAGATGGGTCATATGCTATGCTAATTTAAGTTTTTAATGGGGAATCTGAAGGAAGCATTAATTGAAACACAAAAAGGCACCATCTAAAGTGAAATAGTACCTCACAGACATCCTTTAAGAAGGACATTGCATCTTGCAAATGCTCGTGAAGTTGCTGTTCAACTCGATTTTTCTGGCAAAGTCAAGACAGAACAGGAAGCAAAGCACAGGTTAAGATTAATTCAAAAAAGAGGTGAGGAAACAGCTGATGTGCATGTCAGCAATAAATTGTTAGTGAAGTTAATGCAACAGAGATCTGATTATATTGAGATAAGAAAAGGCTAATATTTAACACTGCAGTTTTGTTAGGATTTTAAGATGTATGTAACAATTATACTTAATTGCAAAAATATTGAAGAAAATGGATTTGGCTTAAACTTGTTCTTGTTAGACAGAAAAACGAAATTTCACCTGTGGAAACTAGAAATATTAACACGTAATCAAAGCCTCCCCTCAAATTTTTCCCTTTTCCTTCCCGATCCTGTCTCAGGAATTTAAGAAAGAAGTCAGTAACTTAAATCCTCTGCTGCATCTTCAAAGGAAGAAAATTTACAATGCTGTAGATGATTTCCCAGGTCTTTTTCTGTAAAACGTTTCATTAATTAATAAATGAACACTCCCCAATAACAAATAACAATTATAAATACAATATATTAGTACTTTAATGACAAGCATAGTGAAGGCAAGCCCAAGAGGCTACCATTTCAGGGAGGGAGGGGAAGGACAAGTAAATGCAAAGGCATGAAGTCTTTATCTTTCCTCCAGACTGAACTTTAGATAAGAATTAGCTATGGATTTGTGAAAAGGTACCAGAATCTCATAACAGCGCTTTAGCACCAGCTGTCCTCAGCACAGAAGCCTGATGCCCAAGGAACAGATGGTGAAAGACACACCCTGCACGTCTTATATTGTTCAACTGAACAGGCCATTTGTTAGCAAAGAATTCATTTGTAATGCTATCCTACTGTTTCCTTTAATGATATGCAGGATTTATACAAAACCAAGCCTTCAGCTCTTAAGTAAAAAGTACGGTGTTGCTTTCAACAACTCTTACCAAGGAGTGTAGAGAGTTTTCATAGTTTGGAGATGAGGGGGCTTGTCCTCCACTCCTAGACCACTGACTGGCACCTGTCAAAATTGTCTAGGTTAACAGAGATTTATGCAGCAGAAGTGGGAAGCAGCGACGCGATATTTCTCAACTCAATCAAAACCAGCATTCTGCATAAAGGTAAGCTAACATATGGGTACACAAAGGAGGACAAATTCCTTCATTCTGCCTTGCAGAGGGATAATTTTTATATCCTGGCATCCGTAGGGTTAGGCACATTGTCGATGACAAAGCAGTGACATCTTCACAGTACTTAAACGATACAAAAGTGGACTAAACACACACACAGAGTACCTGAAATACCTGCCCTCTGCCAGTGTCACCATAAAAGGGTTGCTGAACTCCTTCTTCAGGTTATGTTCAGTATACGTAGGCATATCTTTAATAATGTTAAAATATACCACAAAAATATTTAAAGAAAGCAAATGGACACTGAACTAAGGATAACTGGAAAACCATTTTTATGACACCTCTTTACTAAATGAGAAAACTTAAAACTAGATCAAAAGGATTTATCATCTCATTCCACATGATACCATTTTACATTATAATGCATTTCTAGTTTAGAAGAGTAAAAATACACCCAAGTAATCCCCATTTGCGATTTCAGATATACTGCACATAAATTGGCAGTTAAAGAATATTGACTGTGCAACAAATCAATTACATCCATACTACCTATACACTGCAAATTCAAATCCATATCCATTCTCATCCGACATAAATATACCTAATTACCATGTAAAAATTAAAAATAATTTGATGTGAAATGCTAATAAAGAAGTACTTTTAAAACAAAGCCTGAAATAGTCAACATGTATTTTTCTCACCAACTAATAACGCATCTTTTTATGAAGATACTACACAAAATTCTGTGGCCATTAGAGACAGCTTCCTTTCAGCCATACAAATGTAATAATAAAGCAATTACATTAATAAATTATGGACGGACAATCCAAAGCAGCTCATTAAAGGAAGAGCCTGTGGGCTTGTTCTTTCAATAACAGCCAGAGCTGTACATCTGGAAAACTGGGAAAAGGTTTAATAACATTACAGTTCCTTTGTTCGGAGAGCTGCAAGTAGTTACCTCTTAAAGAAAGGGGTTTATATAACAAAAAGAGTACAGCTTGCATAGCTATTAAAATACCTAAATATTTCCTTTCTAATTAAAAAAAAATAAAACCATCTCCAGTTTCATAGCAGCCCAGAGCTGCCGTAACTGTGCTGGAATTCTCTTTTAAAATACAGCTACATCAGTGAGCAAGTTTATAATTACCAATTTTCACTTTCACACAACTACTCTGAGTCTGGATCTGTAGTCTCCCCCCAACATTACTGTCGTTCCTGAACTTTGGAATGACGCTTGGAGTCTCACTTATTTTTGCAAAGCATTAATGGAACAACTTTAGAATATTCTGGCTCACTGTAAGGTCCAAATTTTTTCTGGTCAAAACTCCATTTTTAGAGACAAACCCATTTAGTGAGTGCTCACTACTAACAGTGAGTGTGCTGCTTCCTACAGTAAAGCATCAGCTGGCAAACAGAAAGGCAACCAGTTAAGAAAAGAAAGCAAAGGCTCAATGCCTGTTCACCTTGTCTCATGAGTTTGTTGGGGGGCTTTTTTAATGGGAAAAGGTTATTATTTCCTTAGTGTAAGCCCAGAACAAAACTCTTGAGTGGGACTTCTCACAAAGGAAGAAAAAAAAATAAAAGGGGGGGGAGGGAATACTAAACTCCTGTCAAATGAACCACCCAACTGCAACCTGCAGTTTTTAATCACACCTCTAGTAATGCTGGTGCTCTTTCTGCACAGTGGCATACTCTGTCTCCATGTCTGCACAGGTTGCCAGATGGCACTGATTTCCTGCCTTCCTCATTCCACTCCCCCTCCTAGAAGTTTGTGCATGAAATCCACCAATTATATTAGAAAGCATCCTGGCACCACAAGCCCTGCAATTAACAACTGCAGCTTTTAGTGCAGCACCAACATAGCAGCATGAAAATACAAATAAGCCAGGCAAGTGTTAGGATTTACAGGGGTCATCGATAGTAATCACTCCAGTATTGTTCTTCTACTACCAACACTAATCCTCTGGCTCTCCTTTCAAACACACACTCGGCATCAGAGTCCACAGAGGGCTGGTTTTGTACCCTCAGAACCAACTGAAGCCTTCTGAATACTTATGATCCTGGGAGGAGGATTCTTAAAATACCAAGGCTCCCACCATTCAGATCCGCACATAAACTTCACATACGTATACACAATCATTGAAACTATGCAAGAAGCTAAGGTCTGGGCATGTTTATGTAAAATTAGAAATTAAATGGGGGCAGGGAAGATGAGATATGCTATTGTCTCACAGTACTTGGGGGTTTTCATCATGTTGTTCTCAAAGCTTTTACTTAAATTAATTAAAAAATGTCATTACCCTTATTCAGTAATGTAACAGCCAAATGGTCAAATATGAGTTTATCTACATGTGTCATGAAGCTATCATCTCTCAATGCTTTAAATGGCAGAGTACTCCTACTGTAATTTACAATTAAAGGATATGCAAGTTATGACTCACTCAAACCTATAATAAGAAGAAAGCTAGATAAACAAAGAGCTAACTGCAAAAAAGAGGAAAATCACAATGAAGGCTAAAATGCTGCAAAGCATATTATTTTAGTGTACATAAAACATTTGTGTTATCTGCAATAACTTTTTGGGTCAGGACAGAAAATGGCTACCAGGAGTATCAACAGCCATAAATGTAGTAGTAATTACTTTACATTGTGCTTCACTGTGTTCTCAGTGACTCATCTGGGAATAAAGATAAAAGTCCAGATTCATAAATGAAGGTAATTAACTACTGCAGCAATTTACCAAAGGCTTGATAAATTCTGTATCACTGAAATTAAAGGGGGTGGGAGGGTATAATCGTAAAGCAGATGCTAAGTTTGTGTCTAAGAAGGATTTCAGAATTATTTGCTTACTCTACTACTGTCTTAGCCATCAGAATCCAGGATAATGAAC